AATGGTCTACATGAGAAGAAATATGACCTAAAATCAACATTTAGAGCATTTATGTTGCATCTCCAATGCAATCAAATATTCATGTCAGGCATTCTTCCCAACAGGTTCCCTTGTCACAAGCCTGCCATTCAGTACTGAAGTGCCTGGATCCCTGACTCATCTGGGAGCTCGGTGGTGTGGGAACTGTGTCTGTGTCTGCTGTGTTTACTGCTCTCTCTGTGGAGCCCAACACTGCTCCTGGCACTCATGGGCACTCATGATGGCCTGTTGTACTGAGTACTGAGGCTCAAAGAAAGGAAGTAAGTTACTGAAAGTCATATTTCAAGAAGAATTTGAATCCAGGCTGTCTGGTGCCAGAGTCCTTGACTTAAACCATTATAATGACTTTTAATAAATACGCTCAATAAGTTCACGAGGTATGAGATAAAGCTTCATATTTACCCCATTAGTTAAGATAAAAGGAATAAAACTCCTTGCTGGAGAGGCTAAGATCCATTAGAATCTTTCTGTAGAGCAGTCAGTCTGTACAGGCAAACGTATGAAATCTGTTTATCTCTTTGATGTACAACTTCTTTTATTAACGCGTAAAGAAATAATTTAAAACAAAACAAACAAACAAAAAATGTTGTTTAAAAGTGGTATTTATATCTGTACCATTTATAATAGGGGAAAACCAGGCACAGCCCAAAAGCCCTGATCTGAGGAGTGGGTTTTGCAAAATGTGAAGTAAAATGTTTGCATATAACTATTAAAATGATAACTTTGTGATCTACATTTGTGTATCTAGATGTGCATGTGAAATAAAGCCATGTGGGAAAACAGCCAAATTAGTAGGCACACAGGCATTAAAGCTAAATATATATATATATTTGCAATGATAAGTAAGGATCAGTGATAGTTGTGAAATACAATAACAATATAGTTGCGTAATACAATCAACTCTGTGCTTTTTTCATGAAAAATGCTAAAATGTGTAATAACAGGGACAGTGAGATATGCCATCCCTCAATAAAGTTGAATTCATAAGGCAAGTAAAAGGCCATTTCCTCTAAGAACTACCTGAAGTTTTGGTAGCTGCCAGTATGTGCACATCCCAGCTTGAGGGTGGGATGGGAGAGCAGTTTGTTCAGCCTTGCTCCTAGGTGTGGAGAACTCAGTTCAGTATTTCTCTATCATAATCTCCAGGAAAGTCACTCAAGCATCTGTATTTTGAGAAAAGACAACTCTAAGAAACTTATGATACACAGTCATGTTTGAGAATTATTGCAATTATTTTTTTTTATTTTTTTTTTTAGCAATCTTTATTGTTCATATTATTACAAAGGTTTCTCATTTCTTCCCCCCTCCACCAGGTTCCCACCCCACCCTCCGTCCCCCCCCATCCCCCATTGTCCTCATCCATAGGTGCAGTTTATGTTCAGTCTCTTCTTCCCTCAATTTCCCCAATAGTAAATCCCTTTTCAGATAGTAAATCAGTTACTTAGCATTTTCTCATATCAATAATACCTCCACATGCCCAAAGATACACTTCACACAAAAGACATTTCCCAATAGGTCCACCAGCCTCATCCAGGCCCCACCCAAGGCACTCACAGATCAACACCCCAGTCCTAAACTAACTCAACACATCCAGATCTAAGCCTTCATCACTTGATTCAGCAGACACTCAAGTTCCCACGAAAGTTTCCAGCCATGTCTGAGAAGCAGCCGTAGGGCAGGGGCAGGCGAGGAGTGAGCTGTTCTGGGCCTGGCTGCTCAGGGCCTGGCCTCTGTTGCTCTGGTTCATTACACAACCAGCTGCTCCGGGTCTGGTGACTGCCGCTCCCAACCTAGTTGCTCTGGACTTGGCTGCTGCTGCTCCGGGCCTGGCCGCTCCCAGCCTGGCAGCCGCTGCTCCGGGCCTGGCCGCAACCAACCCGCCTGCTCCCCCGGGCCTGGCCGCTCCCAGCCTGGCAGCCGCTGCTCTGGGCCTGGCCGCACCCGACCCGCCTGCTCCCCCGGGCCTGGCCGCTCCCAGCCTGGCAGCCGCTGCTCCGGGCCTGGCCGCACCCGACCCGGCTGCTCCCCCGGGCCTGGCCGCTCCCAGCCTGGCAGCCACTGCTCCGGGCCTGGCCGCACCAGCCCCGCCTGCTCCCCCGGGCCTGGCCGCTCCCAGCCTGGCAGCCGCTGCTCCGGGCCTGGCCGCACCCGACCCGCCTGCTCCCCCGGGCCTGGCCGCTCCCAGCCTGGCAGCCGCTGCTCTGGGCCTGGCCGCACCCGACCCGCCTGCTCCCCCGGGCCTGGCCGCTCCCAGCCTGGCAGCCGCTGCTCCGGGCCTGGCCGCACCCGACCTGGCTGCTCCCCCGGGCCTGGCCGCTCCCAGCCTGGCAGCCGCTGCTCCGGGCCTGGCCGCACCAGCCCCGCCTGCTCCCCCGGGCCTGGCCGCTCCCAGCCTGGCAGCCGCTGCTCCGGGCCTGGCCGCACCAGCCCCGCCTGCTCCCCCGGGCCTGGCCGCTCCCAGCCTGGCAGCCGCTGCTCCGGGCCTGGCCGCACCAGCCCCGCCTGCTCCCCCGGGCCTGGCCGCTCCCAGCCTGGCAGCCGCTGCTCCGGGCCTGGCCGCACCCGACCCGCCTGCTCCCCCGGGCCTGGCCGCTCCCAGCCTGGCAGCCGCTGCTCCGGGCCTGGCCGCACAAGCCCCGCCTGCTCCCCCGGGCCTGGCCGCTCCCAGCCTGGCAGCCGCTGCTCCGGGCCTGGCCGCACCCGACCCGCCTGCTCCCCCGGGCCTGGCCGCTCCCAGCCTGGCAGCCGCTGCTCCGGGCCTGGCCGCACCCGACCCGCCTGCTCCCCCGGGCCTGGCCGCTCCCAGCCTGGCAGCCGCTGCTCCGGGCCTGGCCGCACCCGACCCGACTGCTCCCCCGGGCCTGGCCACTCCCAGCCTGGCAGCCGCTGCTCCGGGCCTGGCCGCACCCGACCCGCCTGCTCCCCCGGGCCTGGCCGCTCCCAGCCTGGCAGCCGCTGCTCCGGGCCTGGCCGCACCAGCCCCGCCTGCTCCCCCGGGCCTGGCCGCTCCCAGCCTGGCAGCCGCTGCTCCGGGCCTGGCCGCACCCGACCCGCCTGCTCCCCCGGGCCTGGCCGCTCCCAGCCTGGCAGCCGCTGCTCCGGGCCTGGCCGCACCCGACCCGCCTGCTCCCCCGGGCCTGGCCGCTCCCAGCCTGGCAGCCGCTGCTCCGGGCCTGGCCGCACCCGACCCGCCTGCTCCCCCGGGCCTGGCCGCTCCCAGCCTGGCAGCCGTTGCTCCGGGCCTGGCCGCACCAGCCCCGCCTGCTCCCCCGGGCCTGGCCGCTCCCAGCCTGGCAGCCGCTGCTCCGGGCCTGGCCGCACCCGACCCGCCTGCTCCCCCGGGCCTGGCCGCTCCCAGCCTGGCAGCCGCTGCTCCGGGCCTGGCCGCACCCGACCCGCCTGCTCCCCCGGGCCTGGCCGCTCCCAGCCTGGCAGCCGCTGCTCCGGGCCTGGCCGCACCCGACCCGCCTGCTCCCCCGGGCCTGGCCGCTCCCAGCCTGGCAGCCGCTGCTCCGGGCCTGGCCGCACCAGCCCCGCCTGCTCCCCCGGGCCTGGCCGCTCCCAGCCTGGCAGCCGCTGCTCCGGGCCTGGCCGCACAAGCCCCGCCTGCTCCCCCGGGCCTGGCCGCTCCCAGCCTGGCAGCCGCTGCTCCGGGCCTGGCCGCACCCGACCCGCCTGCTCCCCCGGGCCTGGCCGCTCCCAGCCTGGCAGCCGCTGCTCCGGGCCTGGCCGCACAAGCCCCGCCTGCTCCCCCGGGTCTGGCCGCTCCCAGCCTGGCAGCCGCTGCTCCGGGCCTGGCCGCACCCGACCCGCCTGCTCCCCCGGGCCTGGCCGCTCCCAGCCTGGCAGCCGCTGCTCCGGGCCTGGCCGCACCCGACCCGCCTGCTCCCCCGGGCCTGGCCGCTCCCAGCCTGGCAGCCGCTGCTCCGGGCCTGGCCGCACCTGACCCGGCTGCTCTGGGCCCGGCTGCCCCGGGCCCGGCCTGTCCGAGCCTGGCCACTCCCGACCTGGATGCTCTGGGCTTGGCTACTGCTGTTCTGGGTCTGGCTGCTCCCATCTCGGCTGCTCTGGGCCCGGCTTCTTCGGGCCCGGCCACTCCGGGTCTGGGTGTTCCTGGACTGGCCACCCTGGGCTTGGCCGCCTCCGCCTCATGCCTGGCTGCCACTGCCCCAGGTCTGGCTACTCCAGTGCTGGCTGTTGATGCTCTGGTTCTGGCTGCTGTTGTTCTGGGGCCTGGCCGTTGCTGCTCCGGGTCTGGCTGCCACTGCCTTGTGCCTGGCCACTCTAGGCCTGGCCGTCGCTGTTCCAACATTCTGTCCTTTTTTTTTCTTTTTAAAACGCATTTCTGTTGCAATGTTGGCTGGTGAGTTGAGTTCTGACTTAGTCTTTGATTTTTCAAGATCTTCTTTGTATTCTTTCTTAAGTAATTTTACTATTTTTTGCTCTCACTTGATTTCTTCACATTGAGAACTTCTTTGGTTTCTTCCTCCTTGTCCTGGGAGCTCAGCAGGTTGGCCTGTGGCACCCCTTTGTTCTCCGCAGGCTCCTGTGCTGCTTCAGCCTGTTGCCGGGACGGCGCCGCCCAGGAAGCAGCCCCCGGCCTTGGCTCCATTGCCCGAGCTCAGTGGTCAAAGGCTCAGGGGCACCCACGCCCCCAGGGGCCCCGTGGCCCGCCTCCTTGCTGGTGCCCGGTTGGCTGGAGTCCGGCAGGGGCTTCCGCTCCCCTCCGCGTTCCCCCAGCCTAGAGCTTTTTTTTTCTCCTTCCCGCTAGGGAAGTCCAGCATCAGAGTCAACAGACTGTCCTCTGCGCGCAGTTTGCGCGAGTCCCACAGACTGTCCTCTGCGAAATGTCACAAAATTTTTAAATGGGAAAGGAATATAAGAACAGGTTTAAAGCATCTCTAGCTTAACATGCTAGAGTTCTATCAGAAGCTTTTCATGAATTATTTCAATCAGTTTATCTAAATCCTCTTCACACCTAAAACCTGGCCAGCGATCATTCTGCCATCTTCTCCTGCCACCGCAGCCCGGGCATTTCTCTCATTAACATATTGAACGAAGGCAAAGCCCTTATGAACAGAGCAACCCACAATTTTGCCATACTTTGAGAAGATGGCCTCCACATCAGATTTCTTCACCACAAGAGTATTGAGATTCCCAATGAATACACGGGAGTTCATGGAGCGAGGATCTGTCTTGTTGGTAACATTGCTGGCCATTGTCTTTGATGATTACGGTTCCTCACAAAGACAAAATGTAGCTGAAGATCAAAAAAATCTCACTGGAGGGAAAAGGGAGAAGAGATTCGATTCTGAATCTCCTACTCCCGGGTTCTACATGGAGAAGCCGACTACTGTTCGAGGTCAGCAACACGGCTGCGACCGCTCAGCCTTCGTCTCTTCACAAAATCGAGAATTATTGCAATTATACTTGGACAAATTTATGTGTACAATATATTCTTAGAACCATTCAGTGTGCCTGTTTTTCCATAGCCCTTTTAATAAAAGACTTAAGCCTTTTATTTTCGTTAATTTGATAGATATGAAGTGTTATTTCCTAGCTGATACAGTTATTGAGCATATTCATTAAAAGATACCATGAAGGGGCATATTTAAAAAAAAAAAAAAAAGCAGTAGGAAAATGCGAGCAAAAGATTAGAAACAAATTAAATATCCATAATTTTCAAACTGGTCAAATAAATAATTGCACTTCCACACCATGGAAAACTATGCTGTTGTTGTTAAAAAAAAAAAAAAAAAAAACTTTATGTACAAATAGGAAATGTCTCAAAAATATGTTGTTAAAAAAATAAATCTTAAGTATAGAACAGTGTGTCCATTGTGTTACATTTATGATCTCACCCCCCATCTTGTATATTCATAGACTATCTCTAGATGGTAATACCAGAAACTGGTTACAGTAGTTGTTCTGGACTTGATTTATTAAAGTTACCATGATTAGTCAAAAGGGCAGGTTGACTTTTCAATATACACCTTTGCATGTATTAATTCTTAAATAATAAAATATGAGCAATTAGGTACAAATAAAGTCCCACCCTACCTCTGTTTCATCCATTGTTAATTATTGTTAAACTAGTGGCCCAGTGCATGAAATTCATGCATCCCTCAGCCCAGCCTGCACCATCTCCAATCTGGGACCCCTAGGGGGATGTCTGTCTGCCAGTTAGGCATGATCCCTTTCACAATCCAGCACTGCTGGCTAACCACTCATTTACCTGCCTGCTGATCGCCCTTAACCACTCTGCCTGTCGGCGCCGCCATCTACCTCTCTTCCCTGCCAACCTGATCACCCCCAACTGCCCTCACCTCCTGGCCTGATCGCCCCTTACCACCTCTGCCTCGGCCCCTCCACTTTGTCCAGAAGAATGTCCTGAAGGTCTCCTGATCTAATTAGCATATTACCCTTTTATTAGTATAGATTATCTGAATGTCAACCCAGGTCTAAGTTTGACACTCACTACAGACCTTTTTCAGGCTTCATTTACTTTACCAGTTTGTTTCCCAGTGCTGTTATGTTGGCCTTTCTTCCAGTGTTCAGCTCTTAATTAGCTGTTTGTCCTATTTTCTCTCTGGGAATGTGCCTGTTCCTGTATTTGAAGCATTCTCATTTCAGCTACCTGGGGCTTCCTGGTGGTGCAATCAGGAAGAGAAGAGGCCTTTGTTCTCTTTCCAGGGACCTAAGGAGGTCAGAGAGACATCCCCCAAAGCAAATAAACAAACACACCCAGAGGCCATACCCTCAGAATAGTCAGGACCTTCTTTTCTTATGGTTTCATCTAAACAGGGATTTCTTTTAACTACCTGAATTTCTTCTAGCAGGCTTCACAAATTCTAACTGGTACAAACACTTCTGTGCAATGGAATTTCTTGAGCAGTGACGTGCTGAGGATTTGCTCAAGATTCCCTGAACATTTCAAGAGGGCATCTTAAATACAATTTGAACATAAAATATTTCTGTAAAAATATAGTGGTATATCTAAACCCACAGAATGCACAACTTTGGGTGATAATGATGTGTCAATATAGGTTCATCAATTGTATCCAACATACAACTCTGTTAGGGGTGTTGAGAATGGGGAAGCTATACATATGTAGGGGTCAGGGAGTATATGGGAAATCTCAGGATCTTCCTTGTCAATTTTTCTATGAACCTAAAACTGCTCTTTGAAAAGAGGGTCTTTTAAAAAAAAAAAAAAAAAAAAGATGCAATCCAGTTAATAAGCTCAGGAGCAAAACTACAGAAATTTTGGGTTTTAATGAACTATAGAACTTAAAACTGTCTATGCCCCAGTAACCCTTGGAAATTCTTCACATACTTGTAGGAAGAACCCTTGTGTATGAAAAGGGTTCTGGCCTGAAATCAGAAGACCTGGGTTTGCTTTGAGTTTTGTTTCTGTCACATTAGCTCTAGGACCTTATACCAAAGGGAGGGAAACAGCACTTTTTTGAGTTTCTATCACGTGCTAGGCACGGACTAGCTGCTTCAGATATTAATCAATGAATACACACAGCACCTACGTGAGGCAGGTGTGATGGTCTTTAGCCCCATTCTCCGACAGGAAAACTGAGGCACAGGAGGTGAAGAGCCTTAGTCATACAATCAGGTCATAATGCATCTGGGATTCAAACTCCGCTCTGCCCCTAAAGACCATGCTGCAATCACTCTGTAGCAACGCTTCCTTGAACAAGTCATTTTCCTGCTGTGGGCCTCACCTCAGTCACCTCTGAGGTGGAGAGAGATGAGCTGGAAGAACCATAAAATCACTTCCAAAGTTGACATCCTATGAGTCTGTGTGGGATAGAGGCCAATGCTAGGGGTGGAAAGATCTTCCCAGAAGTTCACAGCCTAGGGGATTAGAAGGCAATATAGAAGAGTTCCAAATATTCACCCGATCTAGTGGTAATTCCTGTAAAATCTGTGTTGGCTTGAAGTTTAGAGGGCTCATTCAGTCCAGGCAGAATTAGGTGAGAACTGATCTCAAAGAAAATTGTTGGCCATGTAATAATTAGATACCTAAAAGGGAACCAGGGGAAAAAAAAAAAAAAAAAAAAAAAAAAAAAAAAAGGAAAAAAACCCCACAAAATACAAGTAGCCTTATTTAGGTTCAATGAAATTTATCCATAAAAATATTTCTATTCTTCTCATTTATACAGTGACATCTGCTGAATACCTAGTGTAGTCATCAGGCCTATAAAGTATCTAAGTCTAAGGTCAGTTAGAACTTACAGAGAAGTGGTAATTAAACTCATACTATATTTTAGAAGATGTGGGTCATATGAATCTCATATGGATTTGTTTTTTACTTTATATGCAGTGTATAATAGCTTCTCAAAATAGCGGTCTATATTTACTGCTTTGACTCTATTGCTACTATTTACTCCTTTTTTTAAATTATTGACATTGTTACAGATGTCCCCTATTTCCCCCACCTCTTTGTCCCTCTCTCCCCATCCCCACCCTCACCTTTGCCACATTACTGTCTGTGTTCATGGGTTATATATGTAGGTTCTTTGGCTAATCTCTTCCAGTACCCTCTCCCCCCACTCCCACACCAGCCTCCCCTCTGAGATCTGTCAGTCTGTTCCATGCATCCATGTCTCCGGTCTTATTTTGTTCATTAAATTTCATGTATAAGTGAGATCATTGATATTTTTCCGACTGATTTATTTCCCTTATCATAATAATCTCCAGGTCCACCCATGCTGTTGCAAAGGGTAAGACTTCCTTCTTTTTTATAGTCATATAGTATTTCATGGTGTAAATGTCCCACAGCTTTTTTTATTCACTCATCTACTGATGGGCACTTGGGCTGTTTCCAGATCTTGGCTACTGTAAATAAGGAGGCAATCAACATAGGGGTGTATATATTAAGAGTTTGAAATCTGGCTCCAACTTTACATTGAATTATTTTCTTCAAGATTATCAGACTACCTCTTCACTGATAAACTCAGTAACTTTTTAAGAAGTTTTGTTCTCCAGGAGCTGTGCGCTACGTTTGATGTGACTGATTTTATCTTCTTGCTTTGACAGACTTAACATTAACCGCATCAAGCTTTCCTCATACCTCTGAGCATTTTTTCTGGGAGAGTCTTCCTCCAAATACCCATTACAGGTGCCATTGTTAAAACTTTTGGTCTTAGTATATCTTTTTTTTTTTATCTAAATAATTTTCAACATTCTCATTCTTTGGGAAAGCTTCCAGAATCTCTGTTGATGACTAACAAATCTTCATTTTCATCTTTGCACTCCAAGTCTGAAGTCAAAAAATGTCAACCTGCTTCTAGATATCCTCAGGCTTTCAAATTCAACATGTCTCAAACCAAATGCTTCATTATCACCTTTAAGTTGGTCCTCAAATTTCCTAACTCTGTTAACAGAACCACCATTCTCTTAATCATCCTGCTAGAAATCTTGCTGCCTTTAGCTATTTCTAATATGTTTCTATACTGTAACCAGAAAAAATACACATAAAGACAAAAAGAGTTGTATGCTTACTTTGGAGACAGTGAGGTAGGGAAAAACTGAGACTTACTTTTTTTTTTAATATATTTTATTGATTTTGTACAGAGAGGAAGGGAGAGAGATAGAAAGCTAGAAACATCGATGAGAGAGAGTCATCGATCAGCTGCCTCTTGCACACCCCCTACTGGGGATATGCCCGCAACCAAGGTACATGCCCTTGATCAGAATCGAACCCGGGTCCCTTCAGTCCCCAAGCTGACGCTCTATCCATTGAGCCAAACCGGTCTCGGCAAGGGAAAAGCTGAGACTTAATTCTTGTGGGGTGTTTGTTTGTTTTGTTTTGTTTTTTTAATCCTCACCTGAGGATCTTTTTTTTTTCCATTGATTTTTAGAGAGAACTGAAGAGAAAGGAAAAGATAGAGAGAAATATCGATGTGAGAGAAATACATCAATTGGTTGCCTCCTGCCCTCGACCCTGGGCCGGGGAGGAGCCTGCAACGGAGGTACATGCCCTTGACTGGAATCGAACCTGGGACTCTTTAGTCAGCAGGCCGACACTCTATCCACAGAGCCAAACCAGCTAGGGCTGAGATTTAGCTCTTAATTCATAAGTGGCCTGGAGGGAGAGGGACCATTGAGAAAGTGTGCCAGCAGTCATTAAATCAGTAGATTTCAAGTCTCACTGTTCATGCGTGAGGTGTGTTTCTTCCTTTGTTTCTTCATTTCTGGCCACATT